CCACCTGTTTGCAAAGGTTACATGTGCAGGAGGGCAGAGGAGGCCCGTAGAGCTCTGCCCAACGAAGCTCTCTATGGTGTCCTCAGGATACTGGGTCTGATCAACCCAGTGTACCTGCATAAAGTCCGGAGCTTTTCCTTTTCCCAAAACCAGGTTTTCAGGCAGTGCTGAGCGCAACAGTCATGTCCAACAGTCATGTCCACTTTTGCAGACATGTCAGTGGCGGCTTATGCAGACATGTCCCACAGTTGAAAACATGTCAGTTGCAGTTGGTGCATGGCAAGCAATTTACAAACATGGCAAGAGGTAAGCCACGGGCAAAGCCTAAACCCTGCTATAATCCCATTCCTCTGTGTTGACAACGACTGAATATTGAGAATTCCCAATCAGTCCAGAGGGAGGATTGCACAAGTGTGCGCGCGCGTGTGTGCGTGTGTTTGTGCTTTTGGAGGAGCTTTGGCTTGTGCTAGAGTGCCTCAGGCTTTGATGAAGACGGGAGTCGAAGTTGGTGCCAGCTGAACGATGACCAAATCCTCTTCTGCTCCTCGGAGGCGGGAGGCTTGAGGCTGGAGGTTGAAGAAGCGCGGCTAAGGCTAAGCACGGGGGCTTTGAGTGTAAACCTGTTTGCCAGGAAATGCGACGGGTGGCCGAGGGACGTTCGGACGACATCGAGGAGGACAACAAATCCCCGGATCAACATGGGCTCGACATGCTCGAGGCGGGCTCTGCTAACAAAGCTGCCATAAGTTAACTTGAAGGTCTTGTCAAATTGTTCCGTTTCTCTTTGGTCTTGGAGGAGATCCCCAGCACGGAAGCACGGTGCCTTGTGTACACTCGCTCAAAATCAAGTGTGTCACAAAGTGGTCTCGAAAGCTGCGATGGTTTCGATGCGGTCCGGCAACAAGTGCCAGCCAAGCTGCAGGAGCGCATAGACGTTGCCAACCAGGACCTCAGTAGATCCCAGTAGTCCACACAGTAGACTGAGTTTTGTGTTTTTTCGGGACATTTGGCCGCAGATCACAGGTTACTCATTGGAGGTTCATGCCCCGCTTCCTGTCCGCAGTTCCCTTGCCTGAGCGCTCCAGTTTGCCAGGAAGTCCTCCGAACAGCAGTGTGCAAAGTTGCGTCAGCGTTCACACGGTCAGTGGCCCAACTGAAGCGGGACAGCCAAGACGCAGAGGAAGAGGATCGGCTGATCTTCACTGCACGTTGGGTGTGCTCAGAGGCTGGGCTGGGCATGGCAGTTGGTTACCTCCTGCAAGCGTGCTGGCGGCAGTTCATCCCATGGCTTCCTGAAGACTTGCGGCCAACAGCAATGCCGCCCGACTTCCGCATGCACTACGGTCGCCTTGCAAAGCGGCTCTTCCTCCAAGAGCTAGAAGCGCTTCTAGAGGTACAGAAATCAGGTATGCTCCATGCAGAGGCGTTTCTATGTCTCTCTGACTCTGACGACGATGCTCTTCTCCCGAGCCGGATGCATACCTGGTTCTCTCACCGCGGCCTTTAAAAAGAAAGAAAGGTCAGATGAACTTTCGCGATAACAGCAGTGCCAAAGGTTGCCCACTTCTGTGCTGCGACTTCAGGAGACAGACTTGTTTGAAGACGAAATCCTGTTCAAGGGCCGACGCTGGGGAGGCCTCTCGGAGTTTCAGGCCTGCTTGTGGCATTTTGTGGCACTTCTGGAAAGTAATGTAGAGTAGATGTGGCGCATCTCTGCCCTGAGGAGAGCGGCATGTTCAGCGGAGGCAGCAACAGCAGGGAGTGCTGTCATTGCGGTCATTGCTAGAGTTATCCAGGCATCAGCTGCGAGGCACAGGTGAACTCTATGTGTGTGGCTTGACTTCAGCAGAGCCTCCAAATCTTGGAGTCGGAAGAAAAGACTGAGCAAGTGAGGCGATGATGCTGGGCATTTGCGGGTTGCCAGCAGAATCGATGCAGGCGCAGGGAGACTGCAATTGAGCCGAAAGTCAGGACGCTTTTGCTTGAGGAGTGCCTCGAGGGCCGACGTGTGGACCCGAGCCCGCCGAGCATGGAGGTGGGTCAAAAGTCCTGAAGAAGGATTTGCTCTTCGAATTAGAGGTTCAGAAGACCGATCGGCTTTAGAGGCGTACACAACCTCGCTCGATGCCTCCTCCTCACCGGCGGACTTCGAGGCCAGGGCTTACGCATAAAGACAGAGGCTCTACACATCTTTCGCGAGGTGCTGTTGATGTTGCTCGCTCTGCTCTTCCTGAAGCCAGTGCCAGGAACCGGCCCCGCGGGCAGGCCAAGTTAAGACTTGCTTTAATAGGCCGTTTGTGCGGTTTGTGGGAGCATGTGCGAGCAGCTGAGCAGGCTCTCCTTGGTCAAGCTGGGGCTCCTGGCACAGCGCCTGGCCGAAGACCGCGATCCACAGAGCTGCTCACCAGTAAAATCCAGTAACCATTGATCATTGATCATGGGATGCTTTAATTGGAATGTACGTTTTCTGCTACCAGGGGGATGTTACAGTATGTTCTTCTGAAAAACTGGTTGATTGGATTTGTAATGTATTGGTGGCATTGGGCAGTGCTCGAGGACAACAAAACAAACCAGTGCAAAGATGCAAAATCTTTCACCCCACCGATGTGAGAGGGGCCGCACGCTGTGGGCCCCCAAGGATGCAGTGGCCGGGACGAAGCAAGAGATTAGTGTCAATCCAGGCACTCCATGGGATCGTGTGCCGTACTGTTGATGGCCGTCACTTAGGTTGGGATTCAGGATCTGAGGTTTTCAGACACCTCAGGCCCTGTCCATCTAATGTGGTTTAGTGCCGATGCATGGGTAGGGGGCCAGGCTCGGACCCACGCTCTTCAGGGGTTTTTACTCCACGTGCCTGAAGGGGCACGGCTTTCCCGTGCCAACTTCCCATGTAAAAAGTCACACGCTCTGACGAGGCAAGTGCTGATGCTTTGAACTCAAGACAGGACTTTTCATGCGAAGCGCCTTCATTAGTGCGTTCATCCTGAACGTTGTTCAACAGCTGTCTGACTCCCCTGGGTCATACAGACTGTATTTAAGGCGGAAAACTTTTTTCACGTCCGACCATGTCATTGCAAACTCTCGAACCAATTCTGCTTGAAAGATGTTCCAAACAATGTGTTGCCACATGTATGGCTCCTTCAAAGTCATCGCTTTCACTCGGAAATGTGAAGTGACTTGTTGATGTCGGGAAGGCCCGACTGGTTCTGTTGGATGTCCTTCAAATACTCTTCGCTGGTCTGGTAAATTGGGTCCGTCATGTTGTGCATGGCGGAAAGGAACAAACACATTCAATGTCGCAAGCGGATCCTAACAGCATGCTGTCACGATTGATTGCTCTGAAAATCTTTGCTCTGAAGCCATGCGTGCTGTTTGGAAAGCACACGCATGTTTCTTTGATGTTCGTTCTGCTGCGAATTGCCTTGACTGGGGCAGGCATCCTGGCTGTGAGTTTATCCTAAAAGCAGTGGGGTGAATCATTCGTTCAGCACGAAGATCATTATGAACGCGAATAGAGAAGTGATCCTCGAGCTGGTCCACGTCATGAGAGATCTGAAAATCTAGACCCAGCTCTCGAGATGCTCTGACAAGGTGGTACAAGTTCATGTCCAGCTACTTGTAAAAGGACGGAGCGTAACCACACATGATTCGCAGCAAGCATGTCAACCGTGAGATGGAAGAAGTCTGACCAAAGTAAGGTGGTCCCTAAGTCAAAAGCAGAAACTGTTCTCCATTCCAAACTGTTCTTCACTATTTTGGTCTACATGTTCCCAGGACGATTCCTGAGACGATGAGTTTTCTGATGGGCTCCCAACATCCTCCAGCCGCGGCAAAGGCCGTAGTACTTCTTCCGAGCGAAAGGATATTTCCATATGGTGCATCAGCAAAGACGACACAGTCTTATGCAACACGGGCTCCAACATCGACATTGCAAACATGAAGGACGTGAACCAGATTCTAACAACTTGCACTCACAATGAATCGCTGTGAAAATCTTTGCTTGAAGCCATACTCACACCGCATCTATCGTACTTGCATGTTTTCTGCAATCATTTTGTTTAACTGTAATGCGGACATTCAGCAACCGCAAATCACTTGAACATCACTTGCAACACTTTTTGTACATGCAGGTACGTCAGGGTGATCAGCCCTTGTCCTGACCAAATCATCCGTTCTAATCCTGCAATTATGGATGCAGGGCATTCACCTGGGCTGTCCGCAGAACTACAATCTGCGTGCGTGTTGGATGGTTGCATCTATGCCCTTCAAAAGCGAGAGAACACTTGATTGTCTTGTTTGCGCTGCTCTTCCTGAGCAAGTGCTTGTTGGAGGCGTCTGAGAATTGGTCAGCCATTTCCAAAGAAGCCGAAGGGAAAAAGGCACAGGGACAGAAGTGCAAGCAACCTGGCCACAGCCGCGGCAGAAGTTTTGGTACCATTGGTAATCCCTTCCCACCTATATCAAAAAGAAATTCAGAAGCCTAAAGATCCAGAAGACTACTTTGAAAAGGGGAAGACTACTTTTAAAAGGGGCCACCTAATAATGAATTAGGGGGGGTTCTGAGGTCTTTAATAGGGGGCATACGGAAGAATTCGGGATCCCCTTCATTTCCTAGGTTTTGATTGTTTCATGTGGTTTTAATAATCGATCTTACATACAAGAACTGAAGGTTTGAATTGATTTTATTACAGTTTTAGCCGTATTGAATTACATCTCACTTGAGTTTCATTCCATTTCACTTGATGATAAATGGATGTTAAATTCGATTTCAATTGATTTTAAAAGGAACTTTGATTTGATTTCAATTGATTTTAACGGTATCTTAATTCAATTACAATTGATTTAAAAGGGAATTTTCGTTAAATTTCAAATGTTAAAGGAATTCTAATTGAATTTCACTTGATTTAAAGAGGAATGCTAGTCAAATTTCAATTGATTGTAAAAGGAATTTCAATTGAATTGCAATTGATCTAGAGGTAATTCTAATTAATTTTCAATTGATTTTGACGGTCTTTTAATTCGATTTCAATTAGTGATTCGAAAAGGAATTTTGATTAAATTTCGACTGATTGTAAGAGGAATTTTGATTAAATTTCAACTGATTTGAAAAGGAATTTCAATTAAATTTCAACTGATTGCCAAAGGAGTTTAAGAAAAAAAGTTCAATCGGTTTAAAAGGAATTTTAATGAAATTTCAACTGATTGTATGTAAAAGGAATTTAACTAAGTTTCAATTGATTTTAACGGTTAACGGTACATTAATTCGATTTCAAGAAAGATGTATTTAGTTAATTCAATTTCATTAAATTAATTATTCATTAAGGTAGCCCTATCTAATTCCCTCAATAAATGCCCCCCCCTAATATTAACAAATTTCTCGGGGCCCTGTTTATTTAATATTTAAAGGGGCGGGGAGGGGGGGAGGTCGTTTAATGTCAGGGGGAAGCGATTAGTCCGGATACAGCCTACCGGTCCTACGGCCGCTACGCCGCTACTCGCGATGCACAAGTGGGCCAAGATGGCCGCTACGCATGTTCAAATTGTCAAGAGAAAACCAAAGCCGGGGGCCTCGGAACTGCAATGCGGCACGCCGCAGAAAGTGAGACCCTGACCTACACATACCGACACGGCTTTGAGCTTCTTAAGCACGAAATCGTTGAGAGCCACGAATTCCAGTTGGCGTTCCGCGCCACCAGGCGCTTTCGGCTCTCAGTGAGAGTCGCGCCTGGGCTCGACACAGACGGAAGAACCTACAAAGGGCGCTGGCCCTGTCACACCGACAGTGCCGTGGACACATTGACTTGATCCATGTTGGATGCAAGTTACTCCCCAGAAAAAAGATTCGCAAAACAAGAGTGAGCCCTAAAAGCGACAATCTGTTGAGCAAATGTATTCACCGGGAGCAGCTTTGTAAACAACATTTTGCAACATCTGAGCACAGCCTGATTTTGGTAGTTCATGTATGTGTTGGCTGTTGAGTGTGTGTGTGTGTGTGCAACCTGTTGTACATACAGGACTGGGGCCACTCCCTGCATGCCACATGACTACTGTCTATTACTTGACATGTTGCACTTCCTTTGATTGCTTTTCGTCAGCTGACGGATCGAACCAGTCGAGATTTTTACAGCATGTTGTCGCTGGTGTAGGATTGCTCAGCTCCATGCATCACCTGATTCTGGCGTCCAACGGGCGAAGGATCCAAGAAGGGCCGGCAGAGGGGTGAGTGCACGGGGTTTCGCATGGGAGTTTTTTTGGTCGATGGCTTAGAGCTGCTTGGATTATGGGTCCGGGGTTTGTAGGCTTGATCTTACAGGAGGTTAGCTTTGGGTCAGCTTGAGGTTTTGTTGGAGGGTTCAGGACTTGTCTTAGCCCAAACTAATCCTTCAAAAAACCCATGACCAATGCTCTCAAGCACCCCCCCCCAGCCCATTGCCCTCAACCCCTTCCCAAGCCCGGCCGCACGACTAAGAAATGGATTCGAGAACATGCACGTGGGGCCTGCTTTGAATGCCGCGATTTGTTGGCTCAGGAAAGACAAGTGGGCGGCCAAAACCCACCATGTGGGATTTTATTTAAACGTGAAAGTTTGTCGCGTCAGCTTTTATGGTGTGCGCGATCGTTCGTTCAGTAAAACATGAACATTCCCACGACGATAGTCTTTGCCGACAGCAGATTGCTTAGCTTTGCATCTTCAACAAAAAGGTTCCCATTGTGACCGCGTCAGTGAATCAAGTTTAATGCCTTTAAAGAAAGCCGCGGTAGTTCGCGTCAGTACAGTTCGAAAAAGACGCATCCGCGTCAGCTATTCCTTGGGCGCGAGTATTGCGACTGCTGTCCGCGACAGCACAACAAATAAGAACAACATGTTCAAAGGGTTTGGGCCATAGCTCAAGTATACTCTTTGTATTCTTATTGACAACGGACACTCCGACTAAACTCGAGCTTCCACTCGAGCTAGATCCTGCCTGGCCTGGGATCTGTCTACGGCTTTTTCATGGTGTAGAGGAACCTACCTTCACATTGCTTGCAGATGTGGACATACTGCAAGGCAAATTCCATCGGCGCGTGCAAAGCGCAATTACGAAGAACCATCCGCACCTTGAGTGCATGCAGGGTGCATTGTGCAGGTTGAATGCGGCATGTTTTCTACTGTCTTGCTTGCAAGGTACACTTGGCAGCCTAGCCGCTCGTCTGTTCAACGAAAAGCTGAAATGGTCTAAGAGAAGCTGCGCCTTGTGTCTCAGGCTTGTGGCGAATACTGCGTTTGAACTTTCGGATTGCGGCCCAGGTCCCGGACGTGTAATGCAAAGAGAGGAAGCGCTGCGAGTGTGCTTGTGGCCAGATCTTCAACGAGCGCGCGTCGATGCCCCGAGAGTGGACCCTTGTCTTGATGGGGCGCCTGCCTCCACGAGAAGAACTGCTATCCTTGTTGGAGCCCTCGGCCGCAATAGAGCTCTGTAACTCTTTGTGTCTGAAGCTTGACCCGGGCATCGTTTCCATACCGAGGAGACCTACTTGGGTAGCATCCCAAATGGGGAGCGTCTTGAAGCAAACTGAGGCATAAACAAATTCCGAGTTAGACGCTTAGAGAGCAATGCGGCAGAGAGTGCTAGTGCTCTTTACTCAGGTTGGGTGCCAGCAGCCAGCGCCCGGAAGATTTGGAGATGCGGCAAGCGGTGACACCTCTCGAGCCTCGGCGCGAAAAGCACCACACAGCCGTCACAGCCGTCACAGCCGTTGCCTCAAAGCGCTGTCAAACAGCACTTTGGCTGAGGAAATCGAGTTTCCTGAGACCTCCGTGCGCGAAGATGTGCGTCTGAACATGGTGGAGCCCAAGGAGCCCCAGAACACGTCACTGAGTCACAGGATCCACGCGTCAGCCTGCCACGGGAGCCATTTGTCAGGGCAGCACCGTGCTGTGCTTTCCATTGCACATGGCTTCTGTGACGTGGCGGAAGCATTGTTTGAACCCTGCAATGTCCAAACATGTCGAAGCCGTCCAGGTGGCCTCAGCAGCCTCGTCAGAGGCCTGTGCAGGAGAGCTGCGGGAGTTGATGCAGCTACAGCTGCTGGATGCACTCACAGCAAGACGAAAGAAGTCTTTGAAGTGTGCCTGTTTCTTTGAATCTAAGGCTGTTGGTGCGGCTCTTGGAAACACGCCTTGTGGAGGTGCTGCGTTTCCAGCGGGGCCAGGCGTCTGAGGGTCTGCCCATCAGTTCCCAACAGTTTCCGTCTCCCTTGAAAAGGTTTATAGTGTCTCCGTCGGAACGGATCTGTCACTGGCACCGCCGCTCATGGGCCGCGCGCGGCGAGGCACTCTGAGTGCCTTGGCGCCTTTGGCCGACACCACAATTGGCTTCCGAGTTTGGAGTGCCTACGGCCTTGCAAGGTATCAGTTTCGAGTGCGACCCAGCGGAGTCTGACGAACTCGTTGCAGCAACACGATTAGCAGCCTCGCTTGCAAAGTGCAGCAGAAGAAGTCAGTGCGTATTCTTGTCGCTCCCAGGAGCTGGAACGTTTACAAGATGGAGCTGTGGCTGCAAGGGGACGTGGGAGTTCCGCTCTTTTTTGTTGGCAAGCCGGATTTCCTAGATGTATGAGTCACCTTCTCACACACAGACTGATTCCTTTTCATGCGCTGCCCTGATTCAGGCTCTGCCACTTTCACAGAGGCCAACGTTGCAGCAGCGCTGGAGCAGGAGCGCTGAGCGCTGAGAGCTGTTGTCGAGCTGTTGTAAGGCTATTGAAGGCTATTGTGGGTTGAGGGGTTCCAGAAGAATCGATTCAACTCCTCAGGACCGCCGGGAGTTTGAAGAGCTAATCCACACCAACGGCAGCTTTTCTGCAAGAGTGCACTGAGCTTTGTTTTCAAAGCCGCAACCGAGGTTGGTGGGCTGGCACAGTGCTAGACCTCTACTTCTCCCGAAGTTATGTTGCAGAGAAGGAGATCGGTCAGACCATGTCTCTGTGGTGGACAGCGCGGCAGGACTGAGGCTCCCAAGGCTCAAGGCGGCTTGTGAAGGTTTCCTCTTCATTCCTCTTCATGCCGCAGAGGAAGTGCTGCGATCCTTCGATGTATCCAAGGAAAGGATGCCATGGCTTGTGAAAATGCGTAAACATGTGTAAACATGATTTGTCATGCATTTTTTTGATGGTGGAAAAGGCTTCAGAGAAGCTGCGCGGCCTGTTTCCCACGGCTCGGAGCGTCACAGTGGCCATGCGGCCCCAGGGCCAGGCCAGAGCTCTCGCACTTTGCATACAGTGGATTGCATGCTAAGACCGCTTGGGTTCACACGAGCTTCGGTTTGAAACGCTCGAAAACGGGCGAAGCCACTTGCTTCAGAGAACTGTGGATCCAAAACTCAAATAATTTAGGATCAGCAACAAATCAGCTGAGGATAAACATTGCTGCCATGGAAGTGTTACAGGAAAGCAGCGCATGAGCAGTTGCACAGAAGCAGTTGTGTACATGTGCAATGTGTAGATTCAGGATAGACACCCAGCTGGAAACCTGTATTTTTTGTTTTTTTTTGCTGTGGCGGCTTTTTTGTTATGGCGGCGTTTTCGGCGGAGGGCCGAGTGAGTGAGTAAGCCCGAGCCTCCTCAGCGAAAAAAAGCAACGCGCCCAGCCTCCGCAGTAAAAAAAATGTGCCCAGCCTCCACAGATTCGGCGGAGGGCAAATGAGTGAGTGAGCCCGAGCCTCCGCAGCAAAAAAAAAAAAAAAAAAAA